ACTCTTCTTATTCCCAACTGACAAGCTATAAATGCTACTCTTCTTATTCCCAACTGACAAGCTATAAATGCTACTCTTCTTATTTCCAACTGACAAGCTATAAATGCTACAAAACTCTCCTTATTCCCTCCAGCCATAAGTTCCCCCATGTTCAATTATTTCCCCCCTTGGCCGAAAGCTAACCTTTCCCCTTCCTGGCATACGTAAAATTAATTGGGGGCCTATCATTACCCGCCGCCCAAAGTCTAACCTTGTCCTCAAGGTTGAAATGAGGAAATTGGGCGCGAAGTAAGTCAAAAGGCTCCCATGAATCTTCAAAATCAGGCAGGTCCTGCCAATGGATAAGCACTTCCGAACCAGTAACTCCAGGCATAGTGGATGGATGCACCCCTCGAACGGCCGCAGGTTCCACCAGCATTTCCATATCAGTTGACAGAGTGGAAGGAATCACAGGAGAAGAGACATGATTGCCAATTGCCTTCTTGAGTTGCGAGACATGAAAAACAGGATGAATCCTTGCCTCTGGAGGAAGTTGAAGTTCATAAGCTACAACACCAATTCTTTCCACAATAGCAAATGGTCCATAAAATCGAGGGGCAAGCTTTTCATTGGCTCGGCGAGCTAGAGACTGCTAGCGATAAGGTTGCACTCGCACATATACTGAATCGCCAACCTCAAAATTAACATCACGGCGGCTCACATCAGCCGAGTCTTTCATCTTTTGTTGTGCACGGTGTAGATGAGCATGCAACTCCCTAAGTATAGCATCTCGCTGAAGGAGAACAGCTTCAACATCAGCATTAGCCGTAGAGCCAAGCTCATAGCGGATTAATGGAGGAGGATCGCGCCCATAAACCACCTTGAAAGGTGTCATGCCAGTGGCAGTGTGAAAAGAGGTATTATAGCTGTATTCTGCCCACGATATCCAAGAAGACCAGCGGGAGGGGGAATCAGCTGCAAAGCATCTCAAATAAGTCTCCAAACAGCGATTAACCACCTCCGACTGTCCATCTGTCTGAGGATGGTAAGCTGAACTACGACGCAATTCTGAACTCTGCAGGGTAAAAAGCTCGTGCCAGAAGAAGCTCATAAAGACTTTATCACGATCAGATACAATCGAGCGGGGAATGCCATGTAAACGGACTATGTGGTGCAGGAAGGCCTGAGCAACCGTGAGAGCTGAGAGGGATAAAATGGGCATACTTGGAGAGACGATCGACCACCACCATAATTGTGTCAAACCCCTTTGACTTAGGAAGAGCCTCAATAAAGTCCATAGCAATATCCTTCCAGATCTGTTCAGGTACGGGTAAAGGTTGTAAAAGGCCAACGGGGGACATGGCTTCATATTTACTGCGTTGACACACATTGCAGGCCTGCACAAACTCCTGGACAGAACGCTTGATCCCCCGCCAGTAAAATTCAGTTGCTATTTGCCTGTATGTCCGGCGGATACCCGCGTGACCTCCCACAACTCTCGAATGAAACTCCTTCAGTAAGAGGGGAATAAATGGGGAAGAAGCCGACAGAACCAATTTACCATGATAACGTAGGTGTTCTCCAACTAAAGAATAGGCAGGATAGGACGCCGGATCATGCTGTATGGCATGCTTGATGGGAGCCAGGAAAGGATCAGCATCAACTTCCTCCTTAAGGTCATCAAAATCAAGGAAAATAGGGACTGTAAGAGAGTTTAAGTGCATTTCAGCAGGAACTCTTGGTAGGGCGTCAGCCACGGTATTATCAGCACCCGGTTTGTACTGAATCTCAAAGTCATAATTCATAAGCTTAAGAAGCCACTTATGCTGCTCACCTTCGACAATCCCTGCTCCAACAGATACTTGAGACTACGCTGGTCGGTCCGAACAATAAAGTGTCTTCCAAGAAGATAGGGGCGCCATTTTTTAATGGCAAAGACAATGGCCATTAATTCCCGCTTGTAGACAGATTTTGACTATGCAGACGGGCTAAGCTTGTGGCTATAAAAAGCTATAGGCCGATTATTCTGCATTAATACCGCCCCGAGACCTACACCGGATGCATCCGTCTCGATCAAGAAGGGCTGGGAAA